CGCGGGAACAGCACGAGAGCAGGGATGACGGATGGTGCGGGAAAGGATCCAGTCGCACTGTTTCGACTTACCTTAGGTGGGTGGACGGGTACGTAACTTCTTGTCGATACGTATCCGAGGACTGCTTTACATTTTTCACTTGGTATTTTTTTCTTGTGTTCCTTTCACTTTTCTCGCTGTTCCTCCCGGTCTGATGAGGTGTGGGGAGGTACTTTGGCTCAAGTCCCCTTCAAGTGGGGCCCTGACTAGATCAATCCGTCCTCAGGAGCTGTCTCATTGGTTTGCGACCTCCAGTGTGGAGATAGGGTCTCTTCTTCTCTGACCCACTCACCACTCTTCTCCACCCTCTCCTCGACCCCCCCGATCAGAATCAGAATCAGGATCTCGGAATCTGGACCTGGGCAGTACTTGTGACTCGGTCAAATTATGTCTAGCTCAACGGGCAATTTCCTTTCATGCTCTTGTACATTGGGGTACCCCCGGCCGAGGCAAGCCGCAGTTGCCAGCGCCGGGATGGATCATGGAGGCCGATTCAAGGTTGCTGATGGGATGAGATGCCGTTGGCGGTCACGCAGTTCTGCAGCCCTTTGGATTCTGGGGCCGCCGCCAAAAAAGTAAGATTACAGGGGGCCACCGGTGCTGAAGCTGCTAAACGAGCGATGACTGAGTGCTGGATGACGAGTTCACGACATGCAGCATGCAGTGATGCACCCTCGGCCTGGCTTGATAAAGGCGTTGTTCGGACAGGGTCCAGAAGCTTTTTTGTTCGTGATGTGTTGTTCATGATGTGGATTGACTATGGAACGGGGCATTCGTATGGAAATGCATTCGCATACTGAGGTTACTTTACCTACCTACCATAAGAACGGTATGCAGGTAGGTAGGTAGTCGTAAACAGGGCTGGCCAAGCACGGGAGATGCAGCGCATTGCATAGCTGCTGCTCCTTCCTCCAGCTCCCAGGGCCTGGCACAGGATGGATCCCCAGACGGAACGGAAAACACGCAAGCAAGGCAAGAAATCGTGTCCTGCATTACCTGACATGGCGGCATCGTGCTGGGATATCAATGTAAGGTATTTCTATCCGTAGTTTTGTTCCATCATGCCTTCCGCCCCTTCCGTGCTTCACTGCTCACTATTCAGACCAAGTATCGTATAAGTCGAGGAACCTGACGTAGGTACCTTGGACACAGGCAGGAGGGTACCTAGGTTCCTTCCACTGAATACATAGAGAAGTTGAGAACCTAGGTAAGGGATAGACATTGAGTAGGTACCAAAGGCAAGGTACCTGGGCACGCAGAGAAAAGGAAGGTATCGTGGTCGTGTGCCTTCTCAACTTCGTGCAAGTACCTACCTCACTCAGGAGACTACCTTACCAATGTCAATTGCTTCCTTCCCATACCTCATGTGCGGTGTGAGGTTGGGAAGGTGGTGCTCCCCTCCGTGCTGCGCGCCTCCTTCCCATTGAACAATCGTCATATCCCAACTCTAAATTCCCTTCTTCATTTTACTCTTCCCAAGTCGCCAGCTCTTCTCCCCAATCATTCCAAACATCAACCATCCCTTACACAGTATTCGTACGGATACCAGTGAACGATACATTTCTCTCTTCTTCGACATCCCCGTCATATTCAGCGCCCCTGACCACCACCCGCCACTACGAGCCTAGGTACGACAGCGCCGTCGCTGGACTCACTGGAACGTCCTTCTTCTTTCGTCCCTAGTTCGGTCACTCGTCGTCTTTTCTTCGTCTTGTCCACGGCTTCTGTCATCGACCGTTGTCCATGCTGTCACTCGTCCGCAACACCCATCATCGCTGTTCGCATGACGACCCGGCTTAGCTGGAATCTTTGGGAACATACCTGGGGACGTAATGAAAGAAGAGACTGGATGATATCCGTACCGCCTCTGCCTGATCATTACACCTAACTCTGTCCCTCCCAGGCCGTTCATCGCTCCCGTTCACCGACCTTGAGGTACCACAGTACATGCCCTTGAAGGCACTCACGCATCGACGCATAAATCAAGTAATAAGTAATGGCACTTACGTCGGATAGTCATGCCGCCAAAGCGATATTCAGAGCCAGCATCGGGGCTACTGCCAATGGCCCGGTTGAGCTGCGCTGAACGCCCATCCCGCACTCTCTACCACATGTGCCTGGTTTCTTTCCCTCCAAAGCAAGCTATGCTGGTACTCCGTACACAGCACTATCCACTAGTACCGACACACAGTCATTGTCAGGCCGGGCCTTATTGTCTGCAGGCTGTCTGGGCGGTGGACGATCTCTTCGTGCTCGTCATCCCACATGTCGACGCAACTTGGCCATCACGCAGTACTTAGCACCTTGGAACAGGACGCGACAGGATGGACCACCAGTGTGTGTACTACCTCCCGCCTTCCTTGTCACCTCGAGACTAGGCTCTCCCCGCTCTTGCAGACCACCCCCGCGCACTCAAAATTTCTTATCGCTTTCCCAGCGAGCCACGAGGACATCTCAAAGACAACCATCGCCTGTCCGCCCCGGCCGAAGCTCGACATTATTCATCAATCCTCGCTCGCCAGAGCCCGTTCCCCAGGCGCACACCGACGATCGTCAAAGTATGCTCCACATCACGCTACGCTATTCCGACGGAAATATATTCGCCTCAAGGGCTACCATTTCGGCCTCCCCCTTGAAGGGGCACGATGCCACCCACGCATCCACGGTTCCGTCCACCACCAACCGCCAGCCGCACAACGTGCTTCCCGTTCTCTAGTGCTCACTGTGTGTTGAATGTACCTGTATAAGTCTCCTCCGACGCTCGGTGGCCTGACGTTCCACGATCACCATCTTGACGCCGACAATCGGGGCACAACTTCACAAGTCGAAACGCTCTTCGGTGAGGCACCAAGCACGAGGCACGAAAACGTGGGGACGAAACCAAAGAACCTGGCAAGACGAGAGTGCCTTGACCCCTTGGACCCCTCGCACAGTGAAAAGCATCACGGGCGAACGACAAATCCAGCGCTAGCCCTCCAGAGCGAGCGTAACCAAAATCACCAAACACCACCACCACCACCACCTCACGGGCCAGTGTCCAATTTCAGGGCAGCCATGGATCAGGGCAACGATACCACCAAGCCAGAGGACAAGTCGACGGGACAGGAGCATCGTGGGTGGAGCTTGTGCTCGGCCGCGACTCGACGGCGGAAGACTGAGACTCGTATGCAGCAATGCATATTCGTTTCGTTATGTCTCGTGGTTGACAACGCACCATCACATTACACTTGCACTGCACTCTCACTTTGGCTCACATTCAGTAGTGCAATGATTTCTGCGGAACGTGCAGCATCTCATTGCCTTCATCCTGGCACGAATGGCAACAGACTTTTGGGAGGGCAGATTTCCCATGTCGATCATCAACTAGTCGAGGAATGTCGCATGCGTAGCTTTCTGGGCACCCAACCACAGCATCGTTAAGGCGGCATTCGCTCGAGCCAATTCCTCCTCAGATCCAGCATGATGTGACATGACGGGGCCAGCTTGACACGCTGACAGCCTACAGAGTACTGTACGGGCACGTACCGGTACAGGCACAACGCTTTGCACGCGACTGATGAGTCTCAACAGCGACTGGCAATGACTACGAATACTGCTGATGGCTGGACACGGCTGTGGTCCGGAGATCCGCATCGCTGTTTTCGACCCCGTCGCAGGCCCTAGACAAAGTGGTCCTGTCCTCGCAGGCGCCCATGTCTTTGTCGCCTTTGCCCGGCTGTCGACGATCTCCTTTTGATTCGAAACATAACAAAGCCATTTCTGGAAATAACCTAGACAGTGCGCGTCGGCCATCCCTCCTCTCCGCTGCCAATCACCCTATGGTCTCTCCGAAAGAGCCGGCGAGGTAGTGAACGGCCGCCGACCGCTGACCGCTGACCGCTTCCGATGACTTAGTTGAGCCCCTCCATTGAGCCAACATCAAATCTACATCCGGCCTCAAATGAACCCGCGGGGTGGACGAGACGGGGTGGACGACGGGGTTGCAAAAGTGTCAACGGGGCATATCCGTACTATTATGGACAGGAGAGAAAATTTGGCAACTCTTACGGCGCTTCCACCTTTATCGATCAGCTTGCAGGGTCAAGCTTTTCTTGCCGCCATCTCCACCCGTTTAGCTAATTATCCTCCGATCGAGATGACAGGTATCCCACCCGGAAAAGGAGGAGGGACAAAATCGAAAGGAGCAAGACAGTGCGGCAATGCAACCACATCCTGGACCGTCGTCAGGCGTATTCAACCTGCTCGACAAGTCACGACAGAGATGATTGGAAAATACTACCTGTGATGGTGGTGAACCCCCACTTGACCCCCCAGGTCTTGAGCATAAACGGCGAGGAACAAGAGGGAGCTAGGCGCAGAGAGGTAAAGCAAGTCGATCTGCCTGTCGGCATTTGGCTGCTACCAGCGGCGCGCCTTGCTGCCAGATTGCCTCCCATGTCACAGCCGGTGCACTTCAAGTGGACTGCTGACTCGGGATGCCGTGGAGAGCAATTTGCAGTCAAATCACCTGATTCGTGGTGCCGTACAGAAATTCTTCAAAGAGTCAGTGACCAAGCGTGGGTTGCGGGTGTCCTCACCAGGACTTTGTATCACTATTAGTGCCTGACGATGGTAGGACTTTGAGGATGAGGGGAGAGTTGGAGGGAGAAGAAGAAGAAGCGATGTTACGGCACTTTCCCCACAGTCTCACTCATTCTCTGCCGCTGCAGCAGCCATACTTCACCATTGGATCTCGACTGCAGCGAGAGACTTGATGGGACAATGACCTCTCCAATCATGGATAGCGAGGAGATTCGACTAGCACCCCGTCAACTGATCTAGCATCGAGACTAAAAGCCCCGGGAATAAGCTTCAAGACGCCAGCCTTCCTGCAGCACAAGCTACGGCACGCCTCTCATGCAGCCCCAGGCCCCAAATCACCTCAACACGCAGCACTGCAGCACCACAGCAGCTCACCTCAATCACCACCGCAGCCTCCAGAGCTTACACTTGCAAAATCGCGGCTCCTCCCCCTCCATCTCGACGAGGGAAAAAGACTTGGCGGCCCATGATCCGGTCGCGAGCTGATTGGTGCCCTGCAGACCGTTATATTTCTGCGGCTGCTTAGCGGGGTCGACTTCCCTCTCGCCCATGTCCTTTCGCACTGTGGTGCTGACTCTGAAGGCGGTCTGCAGGCTGTGGCACCGCTCTGTCATCTGGTCGTATGGGTACGGATATACACAACGAGAATACCCATGTACGGATGCGTGAGGCGACACAACGTAATAGCGCAAGGGCGGCTCCGTGCGATGCGGATCTCCCGGTGGGCTCTCTGCGCCGCCCCTCTCGGAGCGAATTTGAATTTTCCAGCGGCGGACACTGGACGCGAGGCCAGCCGGTGCGCCGTATACGTCTGGAAAGATAATTTTGAGAAATTTTTTCACGGAGCGAAATTCCACGGAGCCTCTGATGCTCTTTTCCAGAGCCTGTGCCGCCGAGAAGACTCCGTGACGATACATGCGTATGGAGCAGGACGGACAGCGGTTATTGATGCCATGACATGGAGCCCAGTGGCACCATTGTCCTTGACAGTGAAGAGTCCTTTTCAGCCGTTCCAATCACTGGTCTCCAGGTCACATGTCAACCCGACCGCATCGATTCATTATTACGCGCTCAACCCGTGCCAGCATTTCTGCAATGCATACATCAAGATGAGATTTGGCACATGATCAGGGGTTTTTAGGATCACGGCGTCGAGTAGTTGCGCGCTGTACCTTTCTGAGTCTCTATCTCAATGACTGGTACTTACCAGGGGCCGATGCTAGGGATATCTTCCGGCGGCGTGCTTTCTATCGTCTATTCGGCAGACACTTGAGTACCTCTTGCGTCGCCCGTAGGGTCGAATGGCCTCAAGCTCTCTTCAGCCATCAAGCTGTCGCCCGTCATCTTGTCTAGCGGAGGGGCACGCTCAAATGGCGGGGTCAATTTCCTCTACAAGAGGACCGCTTTCGCCTCGACTCGCCTATGACTGATCAAATTGAACCAAAATTCATGCGTCTTCTCGCCTCGCTCAATCGACTTACACGAGCGACTCTCGCTCTTTCCGTCCCGGGTTTCCGGCTCGACCACGGATTTTGCTCGCGTCTTTGGTCCGATGGCGATAGTACCCAGTGCCGTGAGAAGTATTTGAGCTCATGTCATACTCATATCTCGTTAGGGCGCGGCGCTGCCAAAGTCCTCCTTGGCGTCTGGTCTTCTCCATGTACCCAGTTCCAGGTTGGTGACCATTTTCGCGATATGTCTTGCATGTCCATCTGCGGCGTTTCGCTCCGCGTCGGTGCTGGTCAACTCAGCCACCCGCTTCAGTTCACGGCTGAGCCAGGGCAGCCCTTTTCTGTCATGAGTGGAGATCTTCAGATGCATGTTGAAGTCGGCTATTTTGGTGAAGTGCTTGTGTGAATAGATTACAACCTTTAAACGGAAGGTGGACTTTTCTTCGTAATCGTTTGACAGCAACCTTGTGTAGGCGCTGATAACTTGCGGCTCGAGCGAGAGTGTCTAGTAGGGAAGGCTCATCAGCACATGCATCCTTGAGGGACGAGGGGCGGGGGGCGCAAAAGAGACTGTGATGTTGTGGACATACCGGAGAGGCGCGGGTTTGCGGTGGCGATTTGTTTTGGCAGTGCATGGTTGTCAGTGTCTCGTTGCAGGTGTGGCTGTCGCGAAGACGCTCCCACTCTAATCTATCTTGAGGATCTGCCGTCTCGAGAACGCGGTCCAGAAAACGGGCGATTGACTGCTCAGCGACTTGGGTCAAGGTAGACGCTTGAGATATACCCTACGAGAGCAAACGGGAACAACAGTCAGTGGCGCTGTTGATACAAGTTGGTCTCACGAGATCAAGATCGGGACCAGGACTGGCACTGGCGCTGGCGCTGGCACTGCTTAGCGCAGACGGCGGATCAAAGACTCACCAGCCATGGACGATGACTCGGCTCGCCATCTCGCAGTCGGACAGTGTACGCCGAGTTCTTGGGGTCGTAGATGCCCTGCGAGACTGCGTGGAGATTACGCCATTCGTCGTTGATGGTTCTCAGGAGACTGGCCGCGCGTTGGGTCTGGTCTGGGTCGCAGCCAAAGGCGAGGCATTTCCCGATGCGCTTGTAGAGTTCTCGCGGGCTGAGCGAGATTGTGTTTGCGAGTTGCGTGTTGTTAGAGTATAGGGGCCATTTGCGGCCGGCCTTTGGGGGAGCTTTGGCGGCTTTGGAGACGGCGGCGGCGGCGGGCTTTGCTTCGCGGGAGTATTCTGAGACTACGCGGGATAGCATTGACTGTTGGAGCCGCGTTGTTGTGGACCTCATTTTTGGGAGAGGCTTGCTCTGACGAGCGGGATGCGTGAGGTGTGTTGGGATCGAGGTCGGGGTCGGGATTCGGGAGTCGAGGTGCGACGTGCGAGGGTGAGGGTATCAAGGTTAGGTTTCGGTGTCGCTTTTCTGAAGGTGCCGTGTCCTCCACCAGGTAGATGGCGACGTGAGGGAGAAAAGAGTGTTGAGAGATGGCCGGCCTCAAGCTCCCAATGTCCCGCGGGTTTCGAAGTTGAAGATGCGGCGCGGCGCAGAGCGGCCTCCTGGGTTGAGCTGGGGGAACGAACAGGTGGGATGAGGTTGAAAGTTCCAACCAATCACGAGAGCTGTTGGAGCTTGGTGGTGGGGATGGCACCTTAGGGGGTGTCTTACATCATCTCGCCGAGGTCTGAGGCCATTGCAGCGAGCTGTCGACCTCATCGACGACGACCTTGCGAGCCATGAGCGGGAGATGCGATAATTGACGGGACTGCGCCATCTCTTCATACCATCACTTACAACGACGATATTCAAAGACTGCCACTCTCTGAGACTTCGCAAGCTGCTCCAACAGTTGTTCAAAGAAGAGGATGAGCGTCGTGAATACCGAGTTGCGGAGGCGGGTCATTGCCATTTACAAGGGTAAGTTAAGAGTCTTTTCATTATTGTTGTTCGTTTTACTCTGAGTGGGAGCATCGCACTTGTTCAATCGAGCTGTATCACGTAGCCTCGAGGTTGCCCGGTGAGACAAGCTGCTGAGATGTTTGACTGCTCTTGTCAACATAACTTGTTGTGAAGACAAAACCTGCGCTTTTCTAAACGTCTATCGCTGGCGCATCCTTACTCTACGACAGATACTTGTCGTCCTGAGACTGATGATCCGGTTGAATTTCTTCAAGTCGACTGACCACAGCACGACCAAACCCAGAGCTCTCTCTTTTCCAACACATCTTTTTGCCCCTCGCCCTCTCTCTATTCTATTCCCTGCCTCCCTCTACAATATCCGCTCACCTTCTATCCGTCAACCATTATGCCTGGGCTCACACTACAGCCTCACCTCAAGATGAACCCAACAGACAAAAATGACTAACCATGGAGAATAGAACTCCTCTACTTGGGCCGAGAATACCCCCTCGGCTACGATTACTTCCGCCCCCGCCTGCACAAGGCGTTTTCCGCGAATGCTGCGCTGCGGGATGAGGAGGCTATTCGAAGGGGGATCGAGAGGGCCGAGTTTGTGAAGAAGGGTACGTTGTCTTCCTGTCTTTCTTTCTTTATGTCTTTCTCTGGGTTTGGGGTTCCTTTTCACCAGTTGGATGGCGTGTCCTTCGTCCGTGGACAGGGCAAGGTGAGATCTATGGATGCTCGGTTGACATCAGGCTCTATGACCGCGCGTGGTCGATTCCAAAGTTGGAGTTGGTTTCGTGGACATTTCGTCTTTGCTTTGGGGGCACGCCTCCCCCCTCCTCAACTGACTCCGCTGCATCTCGATGTTGGTTGTTTCCCAAGTTCTGTCTCCACGTTGGAGGCGAGTGTGTCTCGTGGTGCACCAGCATGAGTCTCGATATACTATATGCGCCTCAAAGTCCCCAATTTCAGCTATCTAAACCGGATGCCGCTGTCTTCCGGGCGTGGGAAGTGCTCTCCATGAAGTACTTACCGTCTAGTGCGACTACACCTAGTTCTGGGCAACTTTCTTCGTTTGCTGCGTTTGTTCCATGCTAGACTTTCCAAAGTGGACAACATCGCTTTACTCCCCCAACTCTATCAGAGTCATAACCTTCCATCATTCCCGTCACGCACTCACCCTTTGTATCTCATCCCTCTTTCCTCCCCATTCTATTCTCTCAATAACCGAATGGGAAGCAATAACATCAGACTTTATACCAACGAATAGAATCAAACAGCTGACTTGAATACCTCACAGAAATCGAAGCATTGTAAGTCAGCCCAGTGCCTCTCACCTGCGCTTTCCAAAAAAGCGCCCGTCTGCGTCCACGTCCATCCAACTTCGCAACCTCGTCTCCCCAAGTACACATCATCACTTCCATGACAAGTCCCTCCTTATCCTATCAAACACGCCCGCAAGCGATGTGCCTTACCTCGACCCGGCCCTCGGAAAACAAGTGTAACTAAGGCTATGGGAGAACCAATGTCACTAGTCCTTGAGAGTTCAATACTCTTCAACGGCACGTACGCTGTTCAACGCGTCCCCCTTTCAAGCCATCCCGCCGTACCTCCCCCTCCCCCCTCCAACACCCAAACCGAGTCCTTCCTCAGGCGTGTTTCCTTACAGAGCAAGTGCGTTTTGCCAGGCGCGATTCACACGGTCAAAGTCAGTCTTCCATACATCCTCTATCCTCCTTCCTCACCCCCCCTCTCCCCAGAAAATAAAAATAAAAAAACAGAGGGCATGATTCGCTACCGCAGCATGCAACGGGTGACGATGCCACAGTTGGCAAAAACAGAACGCCCAAAAAGCAGAAGAGAAAATTTGCCCTGCCTCTTCACATCCTCAACCTTACTCGAGACCTTGTCTAAGCCCCTGATTCGATCACACTCTACAATGATATACCATCCAAACCACTCTTACCAAGTCGGTCCTTGTCCCCTCTCCGTCCTCACATCCAACTCATCCAACTCATCCCCCACTTCCCTTACCAATGGTCGTACAAGTCAATTCGAGATGTTAATCTACTGGCGATGCCCCTTCACGGCGAGGCAAGTCGCCTCCGTCGAGTGCCCGCATGGCTTTCATGTAAAACCCATCACCCTCTTCCGAATGCCAAGTCAATCCATGCATTCAAGGTTACAGCATATGCTTCTCCAGGGCGCCATAATCCCCCGCATTACTCTCCATTTTCAGCATCGTCACTTTGAGGCACACAACACAGCATAAGAAAGCATATTGGGGGGGAGATATAGGTATTGTATAGTAATAGTAAACGATGTGATAGGATATGTAGGTGTATATGTAGATGATGTGGTAGTAGATGACGACGATGATGATGTTGACGATGGGGTATCTCGATGAACTGGATCTCTGACCTTTCCCCCCCTATTCCTTCCTTCCTCCCTTCCCCCTTTCCATCCTTTCCTGCCTTGTCCCTTTTTTCGCCGTCCCTTTTTGTTTCTCTTGTTTCTGGTAAACTGTATTCTGCTCTGTTGTTGACACT